GTCGAATCTAAATTGAACATCCAAATCGAACAATAATTAATTCCAAATTACGCCTTCTTTTAATTTTTCTCTTTTATTACTTTCCTCCCACAATCTTTCCTCGATCAAATTTTATTCTTTCGTATCGGATTCAAATTTAAAACTCGAGCATCGAACCATCATTCGCATGTTCCGCCAAACGTTAAAATCGAATCCCACCCCTTCGAAGATTCATCCTCTTCGTGCCATAAATTTTGGATTATTTGCGAGCGTTGCGTGATTCTAAGGGAGGGAAGGAGGATTCCAAGGGGTTTTTCTTGCACCGTCACGCGGACGGATGACTCGGCGTTTTACTCGAGCTAGGTATACACGCATAGAATTCGGCGTGATTTTAAAGCGACCGATCGTGGTAAGACCATTTGTCGCGATACGGGAGATCGGCGTGATCTCCCGGCGAGGGTGACAGGTACGAAACAGGTAAACGCGCCGCGGGTGCCCCTTTTGCCCCGTTTTCACGTCTGGCACTGGGGACAAAGCGGCGCGGGTCGATTCAAAGATCCCTCAAAGCTGGCCGCAAAGTCAAAATAAAGTAATTGTTGCCCCTTTGTCGTTGTCCCTCTCCCCATCCACCTCCTTTCTTTCTTCTCAACAATATTCCATAAGGTGAGAAAGTTTTTCTTGTCGATATTAATGGACACTAATTTATAATATCTAATATAAAAATTCCATTCCTCGAAAATATATTATTTGAATCCAAATCAGATGATCTCTTAAAAATTTATTGATACATGGAATAATAATATTACGTGGATCGCGAATTTCGAGTGAAATGAACGAATTATCGAGTTTGGAGGAGGAAATAACGAGGATGGTAAGAAATAATTTCCGTGATTGTCGGTGATTGGGATTCGAGGATGATTCGGCACGTGAACCGCGTGGAACGCGAACCATTCGAATTTAAAAGACTCGTCCGAACGGTCGAAACGAGGCGGCAAATTTTTTTCAGGTTTTCGTGCGACGTACGAGCTGCGTGGCGCGGCCGATGTCTCTGGATCAGCCACGACTTGATCACCTTTTATGGCTTTCCCAGGACAAGATCCTGAGGATCGTCGTGAATCGAAATGGAGGACCTCCTACGGTCGCCTCCAGCCATTTGTCTCTCTCTCACGTCCCGTCTCGTCTCTCGATCGTATATCGATCGGTCGACGATTGTCAACGCCATTCGTGATACGTGAAAACCTTGAAACACGGTCTACTCTTGTGCCTTACGCGACAGTTCGAAACGATCACCTTGGGTGGCCGTGCGACCACGAACACGATGTTAAGTTAACAGGACGAACAGCCTGTCAACCATTGTCGATCCTCTTTCCTACAAGTGTTCTAACATATCGTTAAAGAAATAATGGAAAAAAAAGACACTCATTCGAGTGTGAACAAGTGAACTATTCCATTTTACACACAGAATAGCCTTAATTCGTCCAGAAGCGTAGAATATCTTTTGAAGAGATTGGTGTACGGAGTAATTCTTTTCTACTTTCTAAAAAAAAAAAAAATATCATCCTTCCACACGAAACCGTTTCCCTTCTTTTTTCCTTTCAACCTCGGAAGGAATAAAACGAAGGAGACCACCGAAGGCGGTTGTATTAATTCAATTAAGTCGGACGGTTAATTTATGACGCTGTCACGGTTGACGATCATAGCATAGAATCGTCAATAGGTGGATTTTCTTGCGACCAATCATCCCCGCGACACGAAGGCGCAGAAGGGGCGAGGAAACGCGTCCTGGGTGGCCGTGTACCATAAAACGCGTTACGTTTCTTAATGTTATGCAGGACACGCAACTATATAAAGCGTTCCCAATTGTGCGCCGACTAGCCGTGGAAAAAAGGCCCCACGGCGAGGAAAAATCGCGGCGACCACCGAAAAAGGAACAGAGGAATGTGAACAGAGGTACGGGCATCTCCTTTTCTGTTTCGCCCTCGTTGCATACACAGATCGTTCTTACCGATTTCGAGACAAATAATCTCGTCTACATGAAAACCGACCCCGATTGCCTAATTGCTGATCACGTGTCGGCTTATTTGAAGAATTTAATAGCTTACTTTAACCTCGTGCATCCATTTTCTCTTTTCAAATCTTTTCGATATCATCTTATAAACGTTCCATTGCTTTTTTTCTTATTCTTCTGGGTATCGATTCCCGTGAGATCGAAAGTTATTGTTAATATTGACGGATTGTGAAAATTAATTCGTAATTCTTTTTTAGATGTCATTTGTTAATACTTCGTATCATTGATCGATAGATCTTATAATTATTATTAAAGAAGGGTAAATTATAATTTTTACAGAAAGAAGATTATATTTTCTCATACATTTTCTTCCAATCTTTTTCTTCTGCCAAATAATCTTTGAATCCATCACTCCATATAGCTACTATATGTGAAACCTAATCAGTAGAATCGGATATTTAGTCAACGCAATACGATACAATAAAAATCCACTTGAAAAACATGGGATCACCTTTTACAAATTCACATCTGTTTCGCGATAGCTAGAGAAATAACGATTTTTCCATGCGGCATCCTTCTCTCTGTGTATTGTCGGAGTCAGGGACATGGTGAATGCCGAAAGCTCTTGGACTTTGGCGTTTCGGCTCGTTTCATCCCGGCAAGACGACTGCATAGATCACCAGGTGTCGCTCTGTTTATACCACAAACGTCCAAACAAGTCGCCCTGGGTCCCTGGGGTCTATTAAGTGCGGACCTTTCAAAAGATCTACACGACTGGAAGGCAAAAAAATAAAAATAAAAAAAAAGGGCGCGTTCGTTGTATACCTGGATCCAAAGAAGATCCAAAGATTCGGCCATTGATGTCACCGCTACACAACCGGTAAATATCGTAAATAAATCCCAAACACGATCCATCGTGTCTTCTGCCCGATTAACAGACGAATCCGGATGACTTCGATTCGGGATGCGCAGTTGGGAATTTCGACTTTCCAAGAGTAAGATTTTATGATAGAATCTCCTTTAGGAAAGTGGTATTGTTGGTTATCGGTGATGCAAACTTTGTATACCCTTCGTTCCCATCGGTGCCTATCGATCCTTATCCGTTGATACCGTTGACACGTTTTCCTTGATCCGCCGACACCGACCACCATCCACGATGATGCTTTTCTACAACATAAATCGAAAGCAAAACCCTTTACCCTCGCCGAACCATTAAGGTATCGCTATTTCGAAAATCACTTTATCTTAAACGAGAGAAAAGATAATAAAGTTTTTCGAACAATAGAAATATTTTCACATTTTTCTTATCTCTTTACAGTTTTCGATACTCGTATTTTCCATTGTTAAAAGCAAGCATTTTTTAAAGGACTTCAAAAAAAAGCTCTCTCCTTTATCGTTAAAAATTCAATGTCCAATTAAAAACTCGCCATCCCCTCGTGTAGGAATTACGTATTCATTACCGGTCGCGTGTAAAAGCGAACACGATTCTAACGATCGGTGCAACCCGGTGAACGCCCGTTTGTCCACCGCAGATGGTCGAGCAAGAGGATGCATTAGCATCGAGCACGGGCCCTTGCAACCGTGATTAGAAGTGCCGTGGACGGTGGTCGAACGAGGTGACGAGCGTATCCCCTTCGAAAGACCGGTAGCCGATCTTTTTTCCTCGCATAAAAGATCAGAGGCTCAATAC